GTCGGATACAGTTCCGCGCATTTCTTCCTCAGCGTCTCCACTTGCATGCGCATTCTGGCAGTTCTAAAGTCAACAGCATAGAGCACACACACATACAAATACACACGCACACATACACACACACACACACATACACACGCACACACACACACACACAAACACACACACACACACGGATCAGTACCCAGATACGGAAATGCTTGCCTAGATACTAATCCACCTGAAGAGAAGACGTGAGATAAAGATTGAGTCTCCCCCAGCAGCACACTCACATAATATTTACACCAAAAACATGTACGGAATTGAAATACTGTATAGCAGGAAATTTTCGGACGGAAATATTTTCGGACAAGACCGAAATTCGACCTTTCGTACGGATTTTATTTTCGTACAGTGCTGCATACTGAATGCACGTGTTCGCAAGCAGTACGCATGTATAGTGTACATACATGTACATGTAATTTCACATGAACAAATTTTAGTACGGAATTAATTTTAGTACAAAAGAGGCCGTGTACGAAATCGTACGAAAATAAATTCCGTCCGAAAATTTCCTGCTATACAGTACTTTACCAGCTGTACGTCGACACCCCCCCCCCCCCCCTCAAATGCTTGGGGTCTCAGTTTCTTGGATTTAGGATATACATGTAGCCGTCCTTATCTATACGGCGAAACGATCGTCATGTGAAACTGCTGCTTGTTACTGCTGCCTATTGTCCATCTAAATTGTCATAGTCGAAGTACAGTGCTGTTTTACTGAGGCATTCGGTTTTGCATGATTCTTGTTCGCCTAACTTCCCATTTAATTGATCTTCGCATCTTTGAACCACGCAAGTTGTGTGAAATGTTGCTTTGCGTCCTTGAATCGTGGTTGGACCTTATTGTCCAATGGTCTTGCCAGTATCGTCATCGACATGCATGTACATCCGCCAATGTCCTTCACAACTGAGACTTTCAGCTCGTGCTGGTCTTGGTTGCGCTCACCTTCCCCTCTTCTCATGTTATCATAACAACCTCGGCACAGGTAATTGTTGTCTACTTCTTAAAATGTGACCTAAAATTCAACAATGACATGCCATACAGTATGTGCAAAATGCATTTTGGATTTGGAAAACTGGTTTACCGAAATTTCGCGCTACCGAACAGTTGATTTTGGGAAATACCGAAAGTATTACGCCACCGGAAATTCCCGGTTCTACAGTACGTACTGATCTTGAAGTTCTTGATTGGGACCGGGTTCTGCTGCTGCTGTCGTGGCATCTGCATCTACATCACCATCTGAGAATGGTGAGGGAAAACCGTCACACACGTACACACACACACACATCCACACGTGCACACACACACATCCACACATGCATATACATGTCCACACATGTGCAAAAACACACACGCACACACACACACACACACACACTAGATTATCACAATGACTCCACAAGCGCGAGGGGAGGGTGGGTGGGTCATGAGATTTATAAGAACACGCGAAACCACCACCACAACCATTACAAATCACAAAGAATGACAGCCTCTTGCACTCCTCTACACTACAGCTAGGTCATGTGATACGGTGACTTGGATCGCAACACTTAGCATTCACTGTATGCCAGGACCGTAGTGTAATACTAATAGTGTTTGTCACCTACAGACTAAGAGTACAGTACTAGACACGGGTGTTTCGCAGTGGCCACTCGTCAAGATGGCGGCAAATCCGAGAGTACAAAAATTTCGACTCTGCCTATGTGCGCGGCGGATGCGAATCTCGCACGTGCATGCAAAATCTAGCCTTCTGCAGAGCTGGGTAGAGCAAGTGTGTAGCCAGTGCAGGAACGACGACCTTTTCCGAGAGAGAATGTGGCTCTTTTCATCCCAACATTTTACTCGCCACGCTCTCCCTCCCAGCTTATTGATACGAGTATGTGCTACCGAGTAGAAGTCTCCATCCTCAGAGTAGGCCTGGCAGAATCGCAAGGTTGAAATACTTGCTCACTTGGTTTTTTGGTCCTTTGAGGTGTTGATGTGATTGTTGTGTACAACTCGAAGTGACAAACTTGAGACCCCCGCGCCACAAAAAACTAAGGCGCGCCACAAAGTTTCGTTTGGCTGTTCAATGAAAGGACGTATGGAAGCAGGGATAAAAACTATCGTGGCTGCCGGCAAAACTCTTAGTAATGTAATAAACGGGGGTGTGACTTTGGTAATTCCAAGGAGAATGTACGCACGGCCATTCCACAACGAAGACGAACTACGAGCTCAAAAACACGCCGATTTTCAAACAAACGACGCAGGAAAGAAGACTGGACATGGCCGCAGTGTTCCCGTGTGGCCTTCAAAACACCTAATTTTACTTCGATAGCGGCTGGTTCAGGGCAAATTCAGGCCCAATTCGACAGCGTCGTACCGCTCAGATTCGCCCAAAACACGAGGAAATGTACGGTAAATACAAATGCGTACGCATTTTGCGTACGGGGACGACTGGCCAGAGTTCATGCACTGCAAACACCCGTGTAGAGTGGCTTCAACTAACACAGTAACAGACTCAGTAGACAATCTCTTTAGACAGCGACTGGGCCTCTGCAGGCTGCGGCTGTCTCTGATCTGCACATCATGCACAACCGTATACCCTGGATTACAGCGAAATCAGCTGCACTGGGCCGGGATGTCTCACTAAAGACTAAAGAGTAAAGTCTAAAGAGTAACGTGCTGCGAGTTGTGAGACTGGCCAGCTTTCCAGCCTGCATGCAGTGCATGCAGGCTAATGAGTCTTACCAGCGTTTGGGAGCGATCGTCTGGGCTTGGCACCGCCGCCTGCGCCTGGGTTTATACTGCTCATCGTCGACTAGTGCATGCACTAGACTTCACGACACCACACTGATCAAGGATAGCCAAACGTCGCTGGGCTTTCACACGGACCCTTCTACCCAGCCGGCACGGCAATGAACAACGCCTGGCCTGGGCGTGTGCGAGATTGCAAAATAATCAGCGTTGGCAGCACCACTTGAAGTTAGTTCACAAATTTCAGAACAAATTCCTCCAGTTAGTTAGCGAAAGGTCCAAGCTGCATGGAGGCTGCTAACGTTAGATCGACTACTAGCTATTAACAGTAATAATTATTGCTATCACTGGAGTAGTGCTAAGGCGCTAGGCAAGGGGGGATGGAGACTCTCTCACGTGACTCTCAGATTCAGATCTCTCGCCGCGTGTGTGTGCGGGTGCAGCGATAGGTATTACGGAAGGTCTCAGATTCTTGCCAATCTTGGTCTAAACCTTTGCTCAGCACACGCATCGGCATAAACTAATTACTTGTAACTTAAGTAATACTAGCCAATCTTCTAAAAGAAAACGATTTAGTAACGTGTCAATGTTTGATACCTGGATACTGATCTTTTCAAACCTTCAAGTCATTCGATCATGATGATTACTCATGGACATCGAGAGCTAGCTAGCATAGCGCGAGCATCGCGACAGCTGGCAACTGTCGCGATGCTCGCTTTGCTGCTGCATGCGGCTAGCTGCACGTACGTAACAGCAACCTAACCAGTTATCTGCACTGCAGCCTGGTAACTGTGACTGTGAGTTTCGATAGTAAGCGTTGTTGACACGCGCTGTTGCCACGCAACTACAATGTCTACATAATACTAGCTAGCTGCCACTGCCAGGCAGTCAGAGTAGCACGACTGACGCAGTGACGGACTGCATGCAGTCTGTACAGACTGTATACCGGTAGATCATGCATGGTAGATTTGTAGTGTAGATCTGCACTCAGCTTGGACTCCGGTCCCGGGCCGCGGCCGGAGGCGGAGCCCAGGGCCAGGCCAGGAGAGCTAGCTAGGGCTACAGCACTCAGCAGAGACTAGACTAGAGTGCCAATCATCAGCTCAGGGAGTCGTAATTTATTATTAGGCCACACTGAAGAAGGTCTGTGGTTCGACTCACCCGACCGACCGTACAATTTCAGCCCGACCGTAACTTTTTTTCGGCGGGCTGTCGTGTGACTGACGTACGTGGACTGAACACGTCCACGTCTACGTGCTGTGCAGCGTGAGTCTGCGGATGCAGGCGGCTCCTTTTGGACTTGACTTGTAGTTGTACTGCAGTGCAGTGCAGTGAGTGGTACGACTGCTGCCTTGTGCTGGTAGTAGAGTCTACTCGATACGACCACCGGCAGACTGGCGAGACTTATTTTGAAGTGACCGTCCGGTTGAGAGTGATTGCCTCGTTCCAGATTAAGGACGGCCTTCTGTTTTGGGATGAAGGACAGACGAGATTGCACTTTCCTCGTGTATTGGGAACGATATTTCACCTGTACCGGTAAGTTGCTGCTCCATGTGTGCAAGCACAGGAAGCGTCGATGGAAAAAGCCCATGTATTCGTGCACGCCGACACCAAACTAGCAATACATGTACCGGTACATTGTACAATTTGTACTTCGAAGTAGTTCCCGAACTTACTTTCAACTCGCATCGTTCTTCATTTGCTTGATGATTTGAACAGTCAGAGTCACCGCTTGAAGTTATTCTCTTCTCGTTCCAGAGCTACACAATGTTTCAAAGTATTAGCCAGTGATCCCTTTATACAACATGTATGGCATAACACTGCGTAATAATACCGATGTACTGGGTGTCTAAAGGCAGTACAGTGTATTTACATGTACTAAAAATATATTTAAAAAAAAAAAATCCGCCCGCCCGCCCGTAAAAAAATGTCCATGTTAGTCGAACCACACACCTTCTTTAGTTTGGCCTTATTATTTTATTATTTTGCTTGTTCGCGTTGGCATCAACCTGCATAAAGCAGGTATATAGCCTTCGCTTAAGCTGCCATAAAAAAGAAAGCTCATCCTAAGCGAGAGGGCTAGAGGAAAAGATAACGATAACGAGATACAGAATACAAAGAAATACAATGAGTTAAACATACGTATACAGTTCAAAACAAAACAGAGCAGAGCCGAAGTTACTAATCGGAGTGACGAATGTGTTGGTTCCGATTGATCCATCAATCGACAAAGGGACTAATCCGTTAGTAGGGAGTCGTAATACTATACTCTATCTGACTATAGTTTTACGTCTCCCTGGTGCCAATCAACGCTGTCAGTGCCAATGCCGGGAATGGTGCACACGATCGTACGAGCAACCCAGACCTAGCGAATGATTTTGGTCTTCTAACCACGCAAACGGACGCCTGTGGCGTATTTGTTACTAACCCGGAGCGAGCAAGTAGTTTTGGTGTAGGGCGAGAGAGTGCTCACCTGGGAGGCTCGGTTTTGGGGACTCTAGAGTAAATTTTACTTGGAAATGCTGCTCCGTTTCATTTCTTCTTCCTCAGTGAGGCCACCTCTAGGCTTAGCAAACTACTGTACAGTTAGTGCAGTGTTCGAAGTTCGCAGTCCGACTGTGTCCAGGATTTTACTAGGACTCCACTTACACTGTTTGGGACCATAGTGGCACGAAGCAGACAACCAAGAACGAGTGAGAGAGGTTCAACAAGAACGAGTAAGAGAGGCTCAACAAGAATGAATGAGAGAGGCTCAACAAGAATGAGTGAAAGAGGCTCAACAAGAATGAATGAGAGAGGTTCAACAAGAACGAATGTGAAAGGCTCACCAGGAACCAGTGAGAATGGAAATTTGAAAATGGGGTGCAATATCCTGCATTCTGGACACTTTTACGGGCATTGTGCTTAAAATAAGTGGCCGGGCCAAAGCTGGACGGGCTGCTACGCCCCTGAGTAGGCCTTTGCAGATTCTGCCGGCAGAAAAATTGGCAGAATTCGTTACTTTTTCTGGTAAATTTCATGCATGTTTGGTATGTGGATAAAGAAATGGAGCCGAATTCGAGGAATTGCCCGCCACAAGGTTAGTATGGTTCTGCCAATTTCACTGCTTTTCGAGCAGAATCTGCCACCTTTTCGAGCATTATCCGCCAATGCCTACGGGGCCCTGAGAAAGGTCACTGTTTCTGAACCTGGTGTCCCCCGCCTTGTTACATACTGTCACCCAACAACATGTTTCAACAAAACAAGTTTTAGATACATGTATATGTACATGTGCAATAGTAGATCTACACTCATACAACTATTAGCTACAAGTTGGAAGGCCGTTGATTTGCACACTGGAGATGTGTTAGAGCTAGGTCTCGGGTCGTTGAATGTCTCCGTAGCTTGTCAGTTTTGTACCCTGTTATCGCACTTTCTGACTGCTTATCATCTTGTTACAGTCGTGACTCGTGGATAGTTGCTTCATAACTCGTTCCCTTGTGTTTTCTTATAACAATCATACCGCAGAATCCCGGGGATAAGCCCATGGGCTTATCTGTTTCACAAGGACATTTCGGTGGGCTTATACAAGAACATGGGATTATACGCGGGCATGGCCTTATACGCCGGCATCAAAGTGGTGCTATTGAAAAGTACCAAGGAAGTGAGAAGTACATTGCTGAAAATCACTGTGCAAACAAAAACAACCGATGACTGCGTTGAAATGTACCAAAAAAAACCCTCTATGCACTACGCACAAATGGTATCAAGAGTAAGTAAGCCCGGGGGGGGGGGGGGAGGGGGGTATGAACTCTTGGTCGTAAATGTACATGGTAGATGTACGACCTAGGCCCACGGGCTTGTACAACGAAGCTTCGCGATGTTCGAACTTGGCCTGGGCTTGTGCGAGAGCATGGGCTTATACGCGGAATTCTACGGTAGTCATTCATGAATTCATGCTTATGGCACACAACAAGCAGCACGTAGATCAATTGGTTTTTACAAGTTGCTTGCCGGCGGTTGTGACAAGAATGAGCTCAGCATGATGATACAGACAACAAAGCAAGGGAAAGCAGCCAAGGTGGAAAATACAATTGTCTTGCGTGAAGCAGGCAGCAAGATAAAACCCAGAGATATTAGTACATTTACATTGGGAGTAGTACACAGTTGAAGCAATAAACAGGTACGATGCAATCATGATGAAGTGAATGCAGTCTATAAGAAGATCAATCGAAAATCAACAAAACGACCTTTTGCACACAAACGAACATGTACATGTATGCCTTACATTGATGAACTAGTAAACACTCACATAATTATTACACACATTCACAAAACACACACCACACAAACATACTTGAAGTACATTCGTCATAGAATTCTAATACCAGTTAAGTGTGAAAGCTCACTAGAGAGGGAAAAGTATTCGATTTCTAGAAACATATTTACTGCAACATTCTACGTCCATGTACGGGTTAGAGGTTTCGCGGAAAGATGACAAACTTACAATGCAGCTGCAATGCTAAGAAAAACTATTCTATTCACTAGATGCAAACTTTGTGAAAGAAACATGCGACGAGTAAAGGCACGGCACCATGACCAAGTAAGAACCACAAATTCTCTCAACGATAGTTCACAATTACCCAACAAATTTACGAAACGAAAATATACAATTATCAGGGTCTAAAGTTCAAAGGTCAAAGGTCAACAGTAACTCCTGGAACTGACTAAAAACGAAGGAACGAACGTCCAGCCAAAACACAAATGTGCACACACATACACAAAAAATACAGTATACGTTCAAGTACACACACAGACACGCATGTACGAGCACGCACCCACGGAAGCACTACCACGCATGCACACACATACGCACGTGCACTCCAAAGAACACACACAGACCGACTGTATGCTAGGAGGAAGCGATAGACCAGCACAAGCTTTCTTCATAAGGACACAAATCCGTCTGTGCTAATTCGCTCACCTCCTCATTCCTCACTCTCACTATCTCCTTCAGCGTCGTACTCGTCTTCTTCTTCGTCGTCATTCTCCACTTCGTCGGACCAGCGAAACTGGCTATACTGCACATTCAGATCATCTCTCACCATGGCACTTAGAGACTCGCGCAGTAGTGGAGAAACTAGAGCTCTTTCAGGCATCTCCAGTTCCTTCAGAGACGAGCAGCTCTCAGCAGCGGCGGCGAACAGCTTTGCTTCGTCGCCAGCGTCCCGGAAATCATTCCTCCCCATTTCGAGCTTGGAGAGGTTTGGCAGGCTGGGCAGCAGGGACGCAAGCACCGGCAGAGCTCCCGACGAGAGGCAGTCGTCGTCCAGGTACAGCTTCTCTAGGCGTCGGCACTGACTCAGCTCACCACGAACAGTTTCGAGGAAATCTCCAGTTAGCTCATTGCGCCGGAGTGAGAGGACCTCCAAACTCTCGTGTTGCTGTTGAATGATTCTACTGACGATCGTAGCCGAGTTCTGCTTCATCCCAACCTTGTCCAGCTCCAGGTCTCTCAGCCTCAGTGCTCCTAACAATGGTGCTAGCTGGGTTAGACCTTCCATATCCAGTACGTAGACATAGACACCGACGTACCGGAGATCTGGGCATGCGCGCAAGCTGCTGCAGACTGTGGTGATGACGTCAAGGTTGACTGCTGGATCGGTGCACTTTTGACCTCCAAAGTCCACTCCCAGCAGTCGCGTACAGCGGTGTGTGTTGCTGTGGACGGTGGCCGTAGCATTGCTGCTGAACAGGTTCCCGGATGTGTAGAGTTGTCGCAGTGTTGACGTGTTGGATGCGATACACGCTGCGATATGGGCCGTGTGACGATCTGTTAGGTTGTTCAGTTCCAGGTTGATGAGCGTAAGATTGCGTAGTAGAGCCATGCCATCAGCCATGCATGCGTACCCGGTATCACCTATACAACAGTTCCGCAGGCGGATGCGGGTGATGAACTGGTGGTGGTGACGGATGACTGTGTTGATGGCCTGACAGTCCGACGGTGTGAGAGGAACGCCGTCGAAATCTACTCCGTACTCCGTCAAGATAGCTTGCATGCTTTGGATGTCTTCGATGCTGCTTTGCCTGGCGTTGACGTGCTCCGCGAAGACCCGGCAGGCGTAGAGGATTCGTTGACGTCGTTCCGCGTCACTGACGTTCTCCAGAGCTGCGGGTGGCTGAGCCGCATCGTCGGATGGAGGAACTGGAGGAAGCTTGGACGTGGGAGTGACGGTGAAGCATCGAATGGCCGAACCTTGCGCCTGGTGCGCCATGGCATAGTGCAGCATCTGTGTACTGGCACTGGGGACGCGGTCTGTCCATATGGGTAGCATTGAACGAACGAAATCCTTGCAGGTGATTTTGGTGACGGCTGGGTCAATTTCGAGGCGGACCACTTCAGGAGCAGACAATGCGAGACCGATCCTGTCACCCAGCAATTCTTCTGCAAGATGCTCTGCTTCGTCCAGCGAGAGAAAGGAGGACACGTGGTCGGCCCATTCCATGATGTGGTCGTGTGTGGTGAAGAGAAAACACGTGACGTTGTGCCCCTCCGCTCCTGTGTAATGCTGGTCGGCATTCTGTGGCTGAGAAGACGATGGGGACTGCGGATTGAGAATGGCTTTAATCAACACATTGGCGGACTCACTGTCCAGCTCAGTGGCTAGTAAACGCCAAAACATGTTGAGGCTGCCTGTGAACGCTCCAAGTCGCTGCACAAGCCAGGCGATGTCAGCTGCAATGGGAGAGCGGCTAGCGATGTAGCGAGCTGCTAGAGCTTCCTGAAGTGCCAGGTGGCTGAAACGCCACTGAGTCTTGGACCGTGGTGATGCCTTGTCGCAGGCGATGAGCAATCCAAGTGTGCGAGCTGCCAATGACAGTGAAAACATTTTGAAGTCGGCATCAGTGAAGACGACTTTCCGGCGGATGAGCATGTGAAAAGCGAAGCGGGAGAGATCAAGAAGATTTTCCTGGACGTCGTCGGGAACATCGTCCCAATCGGTGTATTGCTCACCATCGCTGGGCAGCTTTCCTTCGTGCTGATTCAGTAGATGGAGGATTAGCGAGTTGACGATTGTACCCGGCGTGTTTGGCAAACTGTGCTTGTGTCGGTAGAGGCTGCAGATTGCTTGGGCAAAAAACGGAGTACGCATCATTGCGGCCAGCTGCGGGTTGGTGCGGAGCTCTGCTAGAAACTTGGGTGCATCTTTCGGAGACAGGACATTGCGAATGTAATGCTCCAAACCCTGCTTCTCAAAGCCTAGCAGCTCCACACGACGATGAAAGACTATGTCCCGGTTTTGTGTCAGCTTCATTGCTTCTGCTGAATGGCGTGACGTGATGATCAGGTTGATCCCCGGTAATTCTTTGCCGCAGATGACGTTGTACATGAACTTGCTGCAGTCGGCGAGCTTTATCTCGTCGAGGCCGTCGAGAATGATACAGACAGATTCCGGATGATTGCAGACAAAATCAATGACTTCAACCTGCTCACCTTCTGTTGTGATGCCGTAATTCTGCAAATCCAGCAGCTCAGCGATGCTTTTGATATTGCGCACTTCTTCCAAGCGCAGCTCCAGTGCACGCAGGACAGCGATGTGTGGCCAAATCTGCCCTCTTGCCCATTCAAACGGACCCTTCTTGGTGAAGAGCATGGTTTTGCCTGCTCCAGCCGATGAGAGGGCAATGGCACGGAAAGTCTTCCCATGCATGCGTTGTCGCATGGCTTTCTTGACATTGAGAATCTCGGCAAGTTTCATTTTGCGCAGCTTCCTAGCTTCAGACGCAAATGAATGAGCCAGCCGCTCATTGCCCGCAGTTGTGCCAAGTCTCTCTGCGTCACGCATCCTGGCATTTAGCTTCTGCTTGGACACTACATGGAGATCAGCATAAAGCTCGTCCAGTTGCAAGATTCGCTCCTTCTCTTCATTGGTCTCCTCTATGCAGAACTGCACATTGCTGTAGGCAGCACGCAGGCGGTCATGGTATTTCTTAACAGTAGCCGGTAGCGGTTTCTTACTAGTTTCGCCATGACCTGAGCTGGCAGTTGGACTACCTGCCTGGGCCATACTGCAGCAGCTCAGCAGTAATGAAGACTGCTAATGTTACTGGCAGGGTCAGACACACAGCGGCCTCACACAAACACTAGCTACACTAGAACAGACAACAGTTACCAGCAGAGCAAGCTAGAGAGATCAGCTACCGCTGTAGCCACACTATTATGATTAGTTAGTTGTGTAGTGATTTGCTCTTGCACTTGTGCCGTGTATAGCATGTAGCGTGCTGTACAAGTCATTCTTACCTACCTGTATACTTCACTGTACAGACACTGGCAACAGCAGCAGCTACTATTCGACTGTAGGAGTACATGAGTCCAAGAAGCATTTTCCCCTTGCTACTGTAACTGCACTCTTCTACATCACTGTGTACTGTAGTGCATTGTGTGTGTGCGTGTGTGCGTTTGTCAGCGTCCCATCTACTACAGTATTTCTGAGCAGCCAACGCCTGAAGCAGACAGTGTCTGACCTCACAATGACGTCTCACTTGTCATTGTCAGAATGCACCTGTCATGACTGACCAGCAGAATGTCAGAATGCACCTGTCATGACAGACCAGCAGACATAAGAAAACTAACTCAAACTCACACCAAGCCCACACAGAACGTGTTAGTTCATGTATAAATAGCAGTACTCAGTGTAGTGTAGTGTAGTGTAGTGTAAACGCCTCTTCTTGTACGGGAAAAATGAATTGCACGTAATATCATCAAACAAACTCATGTATGAATTATGAGTCAGCAAACTACTTCGAAGTAGTTGATCCAAATGGTGGTAAATACACACGGCGGCGATATGGCGGTAAATACACACCTGGCCACGTACGCTCCTCTGGCCTAGGCTGCAGACTTATTCTGACCGCACAGAGCTCTCCTTTTTTTCTTACCATCTATTCGCGCCTGGCGCCTGGTCGATGCATGGCTGGTGGTATCCGACATAGCAGGCTGGTAGATCAAGTAGTGCAGGGCACATAGCAGATGGCACAGCAACGACATACAATGGGTATCCGGTCAGTTAGTCGCGAGACATTTGATGATTTCGAGGCGGTCAATTCATCGAATGACATTTCGCGACTGTGCTGTTTCGCACCTTGAATTTTTCGCAGAATAACACACTCGGCGAGTGCATTGCGACGAAGTTATATTTTCAACGCCGAACCTGTCGCCGAATTTCACTGAAAACTGTAAGCTTTGGGTACGGAATCCTTTATCTTGGTGACTCAATCATGGACCCTTATTCCGATTTTACTGGCCTAACTAACTTTGCGAGGCAACCCAAACTAGTCAAGGATGGGTATGCCTATGTGCAAGGCAAGAGAGGAAGAAACGAGACTGTTTTCTAATAGTACTGGAGCTGCGAAAGCCACTGAGCTTTCACTCGGACCTCCTACCCAGCCAGCACGGCAATGAGCAAAGCCTGGCCTGGGCGTGTGCGAGATTGCAAAATAATCAGCGTTGGCAGCACCACTTGAAGTTAGTTCACAAATTTCAGAACAAATTCCTCCAGTTAGTTAGCGAAAGGTCCAAGATGGAGGAAAATGTGTGGGATTTGTGCTGATAATTCGAAGTTAGCAAAGTGTAATTCGAAGTTCACTGTACACTGTACTGGTCAGTTCAGTTTGCATGAGCAGGCTGTGCTGGTCAGTTCAGGGTCCGTAATATTTGTGTCCATAGCGCAACTCTGCGTGACCATGAGAGCATTTTGACATACATAATTTTGAGTTGTGGGTTCATGTTTGGATAATTAGAATGTCCGGATAACTAGAAGTTGTTTCCTGGCATTTTGAGGTTCGAATTATCAGGATTTTGCCTGTAGTACGTAGTCATGTAGTCTGTACTGCATGCGCTCGAGTGCACAGATCTACACCACAAATCTACAGACTGCATGCAGTCTGTAGATTTGTAGTGTAGATATGTGCACTCAGCTTGGACACCGGTCCCGCGGCCGGTGCCCAGGCCAGGAGAGCGACATAGCTTTATCGCATAGCTTTTAGTACGACTCCCTGCCCTGGTGCGCGTGCCATGCCAATCAACGTTGTCAGTGCCAATGAATGGTGCACACAAGCAACCCAGACCTAGCGAATGATTTTGGTCTTCTGGAGAAATGGACGCATGTGGCGTATTTGTTACTAAACCGGAGCGAGCAAGTAGTTTTGGTGGATTGCGAGAGAGTGCTCACCTGAGGGGCTCGGTTTTGGGGGCTCTAGAGTAAATTATAGAGTAAATTTTACTTGTAAATGCTGCTCCGTTTCATTTCTTCTTCCTCAGCGAGGCCAATCTCTAGGCTTAGCACACCACAGTCAGTGCACTGTGCAAAGTTCGCAGTCCGACTGTCTCCAGGATTTTACTAGGACTCCACTTACACTGTATCACTATGGGACCATAGTGGCACGAAGCGGACAACCAATAATGAGCGAGAGAGGTTGAACAAGAATGAGCGAGAGAGGTTCAACAAGAAGGAGTGAAAGAGCCTCAACAAGAATGAATGAGAGAGGTTCAACAAGAATGAATGAGAAAGGCTCACCAGGAACGAGTGAGAAAGGATCATCACTTGGTCCGCTACCCACACATGATGTAGTACACATGGATGTACCCATGGATGTACATAATGTAGTACATAATATGGATGGTCCAAGATGTCAACTCTACAGGTCTGCAAGTATTATGTACATGGACACGTACGCACCTAGGATCTCTTATCATGGTCATGCTGCTAGTGCTGCCGCTGCTGGTGTTATCCACGGCTCCACCGCAGTGCTACTGCTCACAAGCTGCAGCTCGTCGTCTCCAGTCCGGTCTCGAGCACGGTTGGCATAGCAACGACGATGACGGCAATACACACGTTGCAAACTCAACACCACCATCACCGTCACCGTCATCGCCACTGCACTTGCTGCCGTGACCAGCGTTCCTGATCTACGCTATCGGCGGTGCAGAACAGTTCACTATGCCACCAAGCCACAGCCATCTGGAGCTCATTGCCAAGAACTTCCGCTTCATTCAGGTAAGTCACATGTCACGTCGCAAACACTAAACAGTTCTATTGTGAATCGGCCATGCGCCGGGTGATGCACAGCCCTAGTTTTTTTTTTTTTTTTTCTCTACAAAATCCACATATCTCCAGACACTGGGGTGAATGATGGAGTGTGGTGGTGGGGCCCATTAAGCTCCGCCGACCAGAGGTCTCGGCTTCATAGCTCCATGGACGCACCAAAGGGATATTGGGTAGGGAGGATGAAATTGAAAAAGAAAACAGAAGAAAGAAAATGGAAAGATTGTATTGCTCAGTGAGCAAAAGAATAAGTTGAGTATTGATGTGGACGCTGTTAGACTTTTAAATTCAAGAGGAGACTTTCTGCGAGGAGAGATTACATGTATGTCCAAGCAGGGTAGGACACTGTACCCTCTTACTCGCGTATGCTATGAGTGGCCCAGTGCCAGTTCGTTCTGAGGAGATGGTGATAAGCTGCTGTCTTGAATTTTTGGATGTTCTTTGGGTGAAATGGGTGGGGAATGATAGAGGTAGGCAGCTGGTTCCAAATTGGGATGACGGAGTGGGGAAAGGCTCGGCTCACATTGTTCCGGGAATTGGCAGGAAGAACATTCTGTAACTGATGGGGATGCGCGGTGGACAGTCGTACAGCCTGGCGGGTGAGGCGTGTGGTCCTGGGTTGGTGTGTCGGGGGTGGAGCCATTCTCGAGAGAAGAGCGGGAGAATTATCGCAAAGGGCTTTATACAGGAGGCAGAGGGCAGCAATGGTGCGGCGAATTATGAGGCTAGGAAGCCAGCATTGCGGATGTATTGCCTTGATGGCTCGCTCCTGCACCCAGTCCAGCCGATTCAAGTGGGAAGGAGCTGCCCCCATCCAGACGATTGGGCAGTACTCCATAACCGGCCGGACAAAGGCTTTGTAGGCTCGAAGCCGGGCAGGAATAGTCAGCAAGTGAAATGCCTTGCGCAAGGCTCCAAGTCTCTGCGTTGCTCGGACTACAACAGTTCGGATATGCTGGCTGAATTTTAGCTGATGGTCAAACGTGACGCCGAGTACTTTGATGGAGGGCTGCTCCTCGACAGGAGTTCCATTGAAGACAATGGGGGGTATTGGCCAGTCCCGACGATGGTGGGAAATTGTAAGGGCTTGAGATTTGGCTGGCTCGAACTGCACTTTCCAATCCGAGCCCCAACTGGATACAAGGTCGACAGCAGCCTAGTCCTGTGAAAACTGGGCTGCAAAATGGTGCAAGGCGCAAACTTGCATGATGCGACTCAGACTGGATTTCATTGACCAGTGCTGTACATGTACATGTAATGTCGCACTGTTGTATCCATGGCAACCTGCACTGTTGTATCCATGGCAATATGCACTGTTGTATCCAGGACCGCCGGAAGCAGTTCTTGATTGGTCCGGTAGTTTTAGTGCCTGTCATACAGTTTGTGTATGATATGGCGGGTACACATGAACTCCACAGCAGTAAACATGATTGTGTTGGTGGCTAAAATGTTGGTCTGGTGATAACCTGACCAACCGGACCGGTTCCATCGGCCCTGGTATCCATAGGAATATCCACTGTTGCTAACATGGGAACCTGCACTGTCGTACCCATGGCAACCTGCACTGCTAATGGCATGGTAACCGGCATTGTTGTATCCATGGTAACCTTCACCATGGCACTGGCCATAGGCTGGGTATAGGCTTTGAAAGTGGTGACGTCATCACACACAGATGGGAAGGCAATGCAAGCACCGGTGGAAGAGCTCTGAGGACAGGGACGAATCCAGAGATCTCTACAGGGGGTTCCAGTTTAATTTAAACAAAACTGAATAAACTGAATCGCTGATACATATACAATTACACATGTACATGCATATGGTTTCCAGCAGTACATTTGCCCAATTTGGAGGGTTTCCGCAGAACCCCGACCGCAGAACCCCGACCGCAGAACCCCAACCGCAGAACCCCCCCCCCCTGGATCCACCATTTGAGGATGTCGACTGTGCATTAACTTTGTTATTTT